GCTGAGTATTAATATGTTCAATCTTTAGAACATACTCGGTCTCATATGTGATTAAAAGACATCTCCACCCTTTCATATCTTCAAGGGATTTTCTCATCGAGCGTGCATTTAAATCACAACTCATTTGTTAAGATGTGTCTAGCCCTACATGAGACTAAAAATACATCCAACAACCACTCTTCAAGATGGCGTGATGAGTGGATTAGTGACCAGGATCAAGCCTCTTTCCTATCATAGATGATTGATTTCAATAGCAAGAATCAACTCATCTAAAAGCATCTTTACTCTTTCCTTTTGCTAGCTCATTTGATGACTCCAATCTATCTTTAGAGTGACCCCAAAGTATCGGGTTTTTTCTCTCCTCTCTTATGTGTTATTTTCTATATGTATGGTGTAGAGAGAGGATTTATTGAGAGAATTTGAATGTGAAGCTCTATTAGAGCTTCATCTCATGCTCAGAGGTCATACTTAACTTCTTGGAATTTCAATTTGGGGATTTATTTCATCAAAGCCATACATCCTTGAAGCTTCTTCTGGCTGTAATCCTCTATTGACAGCAAGCTATAATTGCCTTTCTACTTCCTTGATTCATGAGTAATTGAGTTGAGATTGATCTATAAGTTTGAGCCTATAATTCATAGTTGATGGAGTTCAATTTTGGAGGAGTTTTGATTGAGAATTTTAGAGATTCAATTGACTGAATTTTTTTTTCTAATGTTTTTAATCCAAATCAGTTAATGAGATCATCCCCTTTTGTGGTTTAATTTGGTGAATTTATAAGGGAAACTATGCCTAAAATCTCCCATTCGATGCCTCTTACCAAATTGAAGTGGTTTTTTAGCCTAATTCTCTCTCACGATTTTCCCACTTTCTGATCCATGCTTTATTAAGCCTCTTCATTAAAAGTCTCACACAAAGTGTAGATCATAAGATGCCAATTGCTTTCCTTTGATTTGATGATGTGAAATTGACCTAAATTGTGAAGTGTCGTCAAATAGCCACTCCATGATATGCTGTTCAGACCTTCGCTGCAAGTAGACTTTTCCTTTGAAGGTGTATTTACAACAGTGTCGTGAGAATTAGGGTCTGTCATTATATTAAAATTCAATCTAGACTATCGATCTTCAATGATCTATAGGGTGAATTAAGGCTTTCAATCTCAACTCTTAATTTCCACCATGATGAAAGGATGGTACTGGAACTTTTATCCTTAGTTATCTTGGCTCATTTTCTTTAATTTAGAAATTCTCAGCAACATATTTCTCAATCAAAAAATTCCAAACTCGTGGAACGACTTTCCAAAATTTCACAAGCCATCTTTCTCCCTTCCCTCATATCTTACAACTAAATATTACACAATATTAGAAGAACTGGGGCGTGCGGAGGCATGGACACCCTTGCGTGCCCCATGCCTCACACCATATGTGGGCCCTTGGCTATTGGGCCCATGTGGGCTCCCCATAAGTTTAAAGTCTTATGATCAAAGGAGTTCATAGTTCTATTAGAGAGCTTGGCCTAAACTTGCTTTCTCGGTTAGGATTGAAGGTTGATAGTTGGTCCCGCACCATCGGATGGTGGTGACTAGGCATGGGGTATAATAAGTCCAATTAAGATAATCTTTGACATATATTTTGTTTCTTGTATATTTAATTATATTGTCTTTATATTACCAAGCATATGAAGTAGTAGTTATTTTTCTCGTTTAAATAACATTGGTTTAGTGGCATCAAGGTTTTAAAATCTTGGTTTTATTTTTTTTTGAAGCATGGGTTATTGTAATAAGACTACTTGTAAGTGATCTTTGCCAAAATAAAAGGGGTGAAAAAATAAGAAAACAAAAATATATATACACTGACAAGATCACTTTGGTCTTTCTTTCAGCTAGTTCATGTGGTCAGCAGTTCATCTTTTTAAAACAACCCAATGGAACCCATGACCTAGAGTCCATCTCAAGGAACCCAATGGAACCCAACTCAAGGACTCATAATTGGCCCATCAAAGATGACTAATAAATTGAAGGAACATAGACTTAGTGTGTGAATTTCAAGTTCCCCCTAAAGGCAAGTCATATCCTGTATAAATATATGCACTCTATTACAATGGTGCAGGAGCCTAGTTTTCAGCACACATACATATCTTACCCTAATAGGGTCACTTCCTGAATACGCGGCTGTCATATGTACATGTCGTGCATTGGTAATATTGAGAATTTTGTCCTTGACCTCACAAGTTACCAACCATACACAAGAGATTTGATATTCTCCTGGGCGGCTTGATCCGCCATTATGGTGGCATGTTGTTCATGATTTGATATTCTTTTGGAATAATCTAACTTGAGTATCCCTCCAACTTCAATAAGGGCTAACCCTACAAATCTCTACAGTTGTGCTTAATGCCTAGCCATTATGGTGGCATGTTGTTCATGATTTGATAGTCTTTTGGAATAATCTAACTTGAGTATCCCTCCAACTTCAATAAGGGCTAACCCTACAAATCTCTACAGTTGTGCTTAATGCCTAGGGCTAAAGGATTTTGGGCACCATTCTTGGACCTAGAATGCACCACGAAGCGAGCTTCTCTAGTCCCACATGGACCACACTCCCATTAGATATAATATTACTACAATCATTATTGTTATATGCTCCCAAAGCCTTTAAATGCTACATACCCCAACACCAACTTCTCAACTCCACACCATTTGGCTGCTCCAAACCTCATTAGTGGGAAAGGACGTTTAAATCCACTTCACGGCCTACAACTCTTTTCGCTGTGCTCTCAATTTGAGCACTATGTAAGGGGAAACTCTATGTTTTGACAAGATTACGTAGGATTGGAACTTGAGATATGTGGGTAATGCAGATGAGTCATAGAAGAGGTATCCTATAAAGTGTTAGAAACTACTATTCGGACCGGACCGAGTACTGGGCCTGAGTCCAAGTAACTTGTCTTGAAAAAAATTTCAAAATACAAAAACAGATCCAAAAAAGAAGAAAATATATATGTAAAATAAGATTAAGCAAAACAAATCAAAATGAGGTTAAAAAGCAATAAAAAAAAGTCAATTTGTTAGACAGGGCATTTTCAAAATAATCTTAAAAAGTTGAAAAATATAAAAATAAGTATTTATGGCCAAAAATACTTCCAATCATCGTCAAAAGTATAGGAAATATAAAACAACATACCACTAATATATTTCTTATTTTTTGGGGAATTTTTTAATCTTTTAAATTTTGTTTTAATATCTCTGAGTGGGATACCCAACTTGGGGAAACTCAACCTTGCAAGCCTGAGTACTCAGAACTTGGACCAAGTAGTCAAACACTGATCGTATCTATGGAAGCCAAGATAGGCAACTCTTTGCGACTGGGATATCTTGCCAGAACTTAGTTTTGCAGCCATGATGGCCGAGTACTCGAACTCAAACCAAGTAGTCAAACACTACTGGTCCTGTCTATGAAAGCCAAGATGGGCAACTCTTCGGGACTGGGATATCATGCCGGAACTATGTTGTTTTGCAGCCATGACAGATAAGGTTTTTCAGCAAGGTTTTTCATACCAAAATAGTTATTTCCATTAAACACACTCGTCAATCTCTAGAAGAACAACTTCCACCAATTTGTGAAAATTATGATAATCCAAATACAACCACTTTGAGCATTTTGATAAAATAATCCTACCTCATATACAACACCTCATACCAAGTTGAGAAATTTATGATATGGATCCATGTTGTCTCCAGGCTGTGAAGATATGTTAAATGAACAAATTTTGTTACATTTAGATGACTCTTCTTTGTTAATTAACCCTGAAAAAATTATCCCAAAGCACTTTTGCTATAATCCATCCATCCAAACTCAAAAGGGAGCATTCTTGTTAAGAGATTTGTTGCTTGTGAGAGATTTAGAGTGAGGTTTTTCTGTGAAATGGGTCATTGTTAAAAACCATGAACTTTCTAAAATGGAGGAATTGGATGGTCTAATGATGGAGTACCATGTATACAAGGAATAGGATTTTAAGGCTGCGGCAGCGGCAGCGGCGGATTAAAGCCCTAAAACAATAAATAGGGCTGCAGTATTATAGAAACAGTACAAATGTATAACGCCCCAAAGCTCAGCCTCATCATCCCAGGCTATTTGGGTGGGGCAAGGCAACCACAACCGAACCTGTAGAGTTTGTAGTATGTTCTTGATCGGTGTTGTCAAAACAGCACTTTGCTTAGCGACTCTTGGTATGCTGCCCTTTCAGTCAGATTCGGATCTGTTTCGGCCTAATTGCTTATGGCCCATTCAGCCGAAGCTTCTTCAGCCTAAACAAAGAAATATATATATGGAAGATGCTAGCGTGAGTCCACTAGCTCACAAAATTGTATAAGCCCAATGGTTCAGATTTAATCTGAGTCAATCCGGCGGTTAAAATAATTTTTTTCTATAAATCCAAATCACTTGAAATTTTAGGTGAATGTTCTTCTCATCAAGACACACCTAATAAAAATATAAAAAAAATAATCCATAAAATTAAAAATACCAAAATACCCCCAAAAATTTATGGGAGTATTTTGATCAATTTTTTTTATGTAAAATATTTTTTTAATATTTTTCGAATATTCATCTATTTTTTATGAAGTCTAAAAAAAGTGATTTGGATTTGTAAAAAAAAAATCAAAATTCAAATACTATCGAGCATCCGTGATCGTTGGATCGGTCCAGATTCAATCTGAACCATTGGGTTCATTTTTTCTTGTGAACCCATTGGTTCTCATAAATCTTTTCCTATACATAGATAAAAGTATTTTTTTAAAAAATTACTGTTATTTTTTTTAATTATTTTTATACTTTTTTATATTAAATTAAAAAAAGAAACGAAATCTCCCGTGAATAAACCGAAACACCCAAATGCTTCATTTTTTCTCACCGGAGGACAACCAAGCGAGTTTGATAACATTAACCTTGTTTTCCTCAGCTTTTCATCCTACTACTGGAAATTACATCAAAGCACAAAAATAGCAAGAAGAATATGGCTTTCAGATTTACATAAATATACACTGGTCCGACCCTCTCTCTCTCTCTCTCTGAAATGGACAGAGGAAGGAAACTAAAGTAAAACACGGCAGACAAACAAAACACAGATACAAGCAGAAAGCAAAAAGGCAACAAAGAGCAAAAAGGACATCCATTCACGAAGCATTACCAAGTCGAGAAGCCTGGAAATTCTCATCAGAGGGACTCAAATGGATCTTTGCAGCTCCCATACCCTTCCTCTGATGATGCATCATGAAGCCCCACAAAGCAGTTGCTGCTGCATTCACATTCATACAGTATTCAAAGCTTTCCTCCTCTTCATCTGAAATTTTTTCTCCATTCCCTTTCTTCCTCACCACCCTCACTAATTCCCCTGTTTCAATCTTCCCTCCTTTCGAGCCCAGTGGACCATCATCGGTTTCGAACCCATAACTCTCCTCATCTTCTATGTGGAATTTACTCTGAAAATTCTGAGTCTCAGCAGCACCCCCCAAATTCAGAACACTTTCCTCTTCAAAACCATCATTCTTCAATTGCTCCTTCTCAACGCCATTTCCTTTACTACACTTCTTACCCGGCAAGTTCCCTGAGCCAATAAATCGACCCAACTTCTTCTCTCCAAACTTCGACTTCACCCCATAATTTCCCCCCCATCCAACCCCATTAATGTCAATGCTTTTCAGAACCCTCATTTCCTTCTTTCTAGCGTCACAAACCATCCTTCCTCTACTGCCGCCCCCATCATCGTTCTCTTTCGACTCTCTCTCATTGTATGCCTTATCACCTTCATCCCTCCTCCTGTGATGAGACTTGCCCCTTCCATCTCCACCACCAGATATGGAACGCGTCTTGATACCCATCAACTCTCGATAGTTCAGGGCAAAACCATGGAAAGAGGAAGAGGGGGAGGTCGGCAAAGCTCCAATGGCATTGTTAGCATCAAGAACAATCAACCCAAGATTCAAGACCCCATGAAACCGGCCTGATGGCCTCCTCACCTGCAAGGCCGCGAAGCTCAGTCCTCCTCCCTTCATAAGATCGGCCACCAGGGCGCGCACAGTGCCTGCCAGCACGTCTCGGAGGTAGCGGACGTAGAAGATCTCTATGCTAATGGCAGAGCTCTCACCGGAGAGGAAGGATTGGTCGACTGTAAATATAAATTTGTCGTTCCAGGTTGGATTTTCTCGGCCAAGCGTGTCGACCCTGGTGCGAAGCTTCTTGCGTGGATCGACCCATGCTACAGCGTAGGTGTGGATGGTCTTGTTTGAGTGGATGATAGGCTTGAGGTCCTGGGCTGATATGAGGTTCACCTCCAGCAACTGGTACTTCTCGCTCTTCTTGGGGGCACAGCACGACGACTCAGCCTCCATGCCCAAGAAGATCTCTCTCGAGACAGAAGAAGGACAGGTTCAGGAGAAATGGAGAAAGAACGGATTCATCGTTCGAGCAAGGCGTTTGGGGTTTCTTTTCTTTCTTGCAGACAGACAGATGATGCGAGAGAGAGACTATGGAGTCTGTTACAGAGAGAGAGAGAGAGAGGAGAGAGAGAGGAGGAGAGAGAGAGAGGAGAGAGAGAGAGAGAGAGAGAGAGAGAGAGAGAGAGGCGGCCAGCAACAGGCACAGACAGGCAAGTACGCCCGCCGATGTAGTAGAAAAGAGAGATGAAATTCATTTGCTATGAGCCTACACGGAAAAAGTTTGTAATCCCAATTAAAGATGCATCTCAAAAATCGATTAGAAAAGGGTGTATTAATATTGAAATACCCTCTAATTGATATGTATATAAAAAAATATTTTGAATCCCATATGCATTATCTAGACTGTCTGTTTCAAGATTTTTATATATTTATAGATCTATTTGATTTTAACCATTTTAGAATATAAGATTTTATAATTTAAGATTAAAATAGATTTTCAGATAATCCTAAGAATTTTTTACATAAAAATTGCATGCTAAGATAAATTTTGGAGGTGCACCTCAATTAGATTATTTAAGGTTGCAAGCTTATGGAAACCACACCCATATAAAAATGATAAACACTTTACTATTTGGGATATAGGGTAATTTGCACAAGGGTAAACCTTAAAAGATCAAAGTAGGTGCACCTCTCTCTTGAGATGTAATTTTGGTTTCAAAAAGTTTTAGGATGATGCAGGAATTTATCTTTATCTTTAAGTATAAAATTTTAAATTTAAAAAATGGTTCAAATCAAACACATTTAATGCTCATCGACTCGACAAATATTTGCCAAGCCTTCTCCTTCTTAGACAGTAATTCAAGGTATAAGTAGATACGGATGGCGCTTGAAGATGAAGAGTTTATAGCTTTCTTGACTCTCAACGGGGTTTTTTGCTATGCAGTGATGCCATTCGGTGTCAAGAATGCAAGGGCCACCTATCAAAGAGCTATGACCACTGTTTTGGAAGATATGCTCATGAAGAAGTGGAATGCTACGTAGATGTTCTTGTAGTAAAATCTAGTGAGAGAAATAACCACATCCAGAATCTTGACAGAGTCTTTGAAAACTCCGTCTTCATCAACTCAAGATGAACCTCTTAAAGTGTCCCTTCAGCATGTGGTTAAGGAAATTCTTGGAGATCGAACCTGTAAAAATTAAAGTTATTCAAGAGATGCCTGGTCGGGGCTTGGTTTTTTTGGTGAGAGAAAATCCTCTTTCAAACAACCGCAAGGGGTGCGTGCTCAGAACGTATTTTAAGTGTACATGTGCACTTTTCTTTATGCTGATAGGCACCAACAACAAGAGAGATTTTTCGACGAGTATGTGTTTTAGATGCTTACCTCGTCGTTTGCAGGTTCGTGGATACACCCGAGAAGTCGCCCTCTTTGAACAATCATGAACCCCTCCGGCTGTCTGCTAGCACGGTTTGGATACAAACTCTCCTCAAACTTTGATGTGTCGATTCATTCTTTTACTCTAGGGCTTGCAATGTGGACGCTTAAGTACCCCTTTGTAACGGTTTACTCGAACAAGGATTGGCTGACAAATGAAGGATAAGGGGGAGGGATGACAGAGGTCCCTCTAATCGCACAAACGCTACAAAACTTGACGATCAGAGCGATTATAGAGTCCAAACTCTCTTGACTACCTACTCAGGATGACTCCACCTGAGTGAGCGAGGGCAAGAATGTGTATATCTCTCATGACTCAACTCCACTGTACGGAGAGGAAGTTAGAGTGGTGATATGAGTGTTGAGACTCTTGAGACTACTATAAGAGGTATCAAATTGAGCGTATGATAAATAGCATGATGGAGGGCGAAAGGCGTTGACAGAGAGACGGGGTCGCAGGTACTACGGCTCCAAAATTATCACACGATAAAAGAGAGAAAGGTGTAAAGAGAAAAACGAGACCACATGTTTGTTGCGGTTCCGAATTACTACACGAGGCAAAAGAGAAAGAGACGGGGTTGCCGGTGCTATGGCTATGAAACTTATCACGCAATGAAAGCGAAAAAGGTATAGAGAGAAAGATGGGACCGCAGGTCTGCTATGGTTCCGAGTTACTACCCGAAGCAAAAGAGAGAGAGGACCAAAGAGAGAGACGGGGTCGCAGGTGTTGCGGCTCTAAAACTTATCACACGATGAAAGCGATAAAGGCATAGAGAGAAAGATGAGACCACAGGTGTCACACCCCAAGAATTTACAATACTATTATTCCTGAGATGTGACGGACAAAACATATATACATCTATTGATAGGACAAATTTACAGTGGCGAGGTCTTACAAAGTAAATAAAGAAAGCTAGCACAACAACAGTATCTTCCAAGGTTGATCTTGACTAGCACTCAAAATGAATCCGTAGTTATCCTGAAAAAATGTTTACCATAGTTTGATGAGTTTGACTACTCAGTAAGTGATCATCATAATCCTAAAAATAATCATGATTGAAATATATCAATATTTTCCAAAATGAGATCTATTAATAGAAATGCATCAACAATTTCACTTTCAATAATTGCATAATTAAGTCTAATCCGAGTAATTGCAATGCTTATAACACTTTTAACGGCAGTACATAATTCAAAGGATTTCACAAAATACCCTACTGGCGTCCCAAGTAGGTCACCTATATACCCCATCAGCGTCCTGATGGGTCCACTTAATCCCTATCGGCGTCCCAGATAGGTCCACTTAATCCC